ATTATTACGTGATAGAATAAATTATAAAAATTGAATAGAATACATATATGACATAATATTTATTTTAAATTTGTCTGTATATTTTAAAATAATATTTAATGTACATTAAATATTTATCATTATATATAAAAAGGAATACCACTTTTATAAGTGTTATAACTAATATGATAATATATTTTAGAATAAAATAATATTTGATTATTATGATGACAAAAAATATGTAAAATTATTATTTTATTTTTGTATTAACACTTAAATAAATGTGCTCAAAAATTACTTACTTTAATATAAGTGAGTCAACGGACTAATATATTGTTAAAATAAAAAAATTTTGAAAAGTATTTTAAGGTACAAACCCGTTCTAAAGGACGCTCTAATTGAATACACCCGCTGACCCTAAAGTCAGGGTCGGGTTATATATCTCTTCTCCTCAAACCCTACTGCCGTCGCCTCCATCTCCCCTTCCCCATTCCTAAGTATATTTTGATTGGGTTTGTCAAAGTAGAAAATATAGATTGTGCGGGATCCCTCTATCCTTATTTATTCTTTTCTTTTGTCCGATTTATTTGTTTATCAGAGTTTTGTATGCAGATCGTTAATCGATGAATAGGCTTATTTATGAGAAAATTCCGTGGTCACGTGAGATCCCAGAGTCAATGGTGCGGCAGCCACCGCCGCCTCGACTACCAAAGGCTGCCAGCAAAGAAGAAGGGACCGCTCAGGTTGCACCCTTCAAATTCCTGCTTCCACGCAATGACCAGGTTAAGTTAGGTTAGATTAGGTTATATATATATAATCTCTTTTTAAATAGTTTGTACTCTAACAAGTATTTTTGTAGATCTTTTTAGTTCGAAGTTTCATATTTTCCCCACTATATGCCAATGTTGTTTATCCCTCGAATATGCAGATTATTGGTGGCAAAATTAGCCGCACATTCTACCCGAGGAGGTGTAAAAGGAAGAGGCCAATTTCAGACATAGACTCCCTATCCGATGAATTGTTGATGGAAGTCCTTGCTCGCATTCCAGGCAAAGATATTTACGAGGCAAGGCTTGTTTGCCGCAAATGGTACCATCTCATTCACACCCGTGATTTCATGCGCTTCCACTTACAGCACGCCACTTATGGACTCCTATTCAAATGTAAAATTCAGGGGTCATATTTAATGCTCCCACAAGGAGGGGTCCGAGTGGAGATTTCTAGGTTGAGGTACAAACGCAGGCGCCCTATCACAAGTAGTTGTAATGGATTGTGGTTAGAGAATCAGCTAGGGGATTATGATAATCTGTATGTCACGAATCCCACAACAGGCCAAGTCGTTCTTCTCCCTCCACTTGTCAACCATGTTCAAAATGGATTTCATGCAATTGGGTATGTGCCGGCTTCCATGGAGTATAAAGCAGTTATATTTTGGCCTGAGAGTGTAAAATGCGAAAAGAGGTATTGTTATATATTAAACGTGGGAGTTGATAAATCATGGAAGAAAGTTGAATTTGAGTTCACAACACCATTGCGAAAGCCTCATTTGATGATTTCTGAAGGTTTCATGCATTGGACTCATCCCCCTACCAATGAAGTCTTGACTCTGAATCTGGAGACTGAAATTTTTACAGAGACCCCTGGCCCTCCCCCTGTAGCTGGAAGAACTAGGTATGTACACAATATTTACCTGTCGACTGGAAGGTATCTGTCGTTATTGCGTCGTTCTGGGGATTATTCGTGGGAGATTTGGGAGATGAGTCGACCAGAAAGGGGGGAATGGAGAAAGAAGGCAGATTTTTCATTGGAGGCTCACAAGGGTAGATTCGAACAATTAGGTCTCCAACATGATAAGTTTTTAATCCCAGTTGGGTGGGTCGAGTATTCAGAGTTGTTGGCCCTGAAATCTGATGATGAGGAGCACCGGACTGTTGTTTTTTTATACAATCTTGTGACGCAGGAATTCGATAAAATCGAGTTACCTTTCTACATAGGAATGTGCAAAATTATGGTGCATAAGAGTAGTTTGGAGTGGTTGGATGCTGCTGCTGTGTAGCCTCCCCCTCCATCATCTCCTTCATTGCTTCACCGTTATTTAATTAATTATACTTTTTGTTCTACCTTTTCTAATTTATTCAAATATGTACTATTTGGGAATTTTACTATTGTAAGCTCTGAAAAGATTCTATTCGGTTGCTTTTGTTATTTCCTCTCTTGGACCAAGCCCAGTATTACATTGCATGTGGACTCATATGCATTTCATTTATACTTCGACTAAGTTTTAATCTCGATCTTAATTCAAATCCTTTAATCAAAATGAGAATTAAGTAGAGTTGTCCTCGTCTATTTAATTTTCTTAATAAGTTACCTAATAAAAAATAAAGATTTAAGTGGATGCCTTCATCTTCTTCAATCTTTCTTATTGCTTTCTTGTTTTATTTAAATTTTTCAAAGTGTGTTTTATGACTAAGTGTTAAGTGTGTAAGTTTTTGCCCAAGTGATTATATTTGTCTTAAGTTTTCCTAGGCTAAGAACTCAGGCTAATTCAACCGGCCCCCCTATTTTTTCTCAAGTAAGAGTCGACCCCAAACACTTTCTAAGCCAAGTAAAAGTCAAGTTAAGACCAGGTCCCAAACTACCCTAACAACCTCCATCATTTTCAGACCTCTCACCCCAGCACCTTAGCAAGCTCGGTCAGCAACCACCTGCCACTTTTCTCGGCAGCCACAGCGCTCATCTCCTCCAGCCGCCGGGTGGCCCTAAGCCCAACAACCTCCCCCACAATTCGGGCAGCTCTCCCCACACGACTCCCCCTTCAAGAAGCCCGAAAGTCCCTCCATTTAAACACCCCAACGTTCAGCTGCCACTTTGTGATTTTTGTAGGCGTTTAAATGGTAAACAATGGAAAAAATTCAACAGTGAAAAGGTTGCTTCCTTGGCATATGCGAGAATCGAATGAAGACAAGTGCTGCCGGCCTATCCTTTTTGAATCAGAGGGACAAGAGACTATTGATTTGGTATGTTATAATGAATTCAAGTTTAATGAATGAAGACAAGACTCATAATTAATTGTTGTCTGCTATATAATTTTGAGAAAATTACCTGGTGGACGAGGCATAATAATTTTTTCTCCTTAAATACGAGATAACTTTTTTATTTACAAACTAATCTTTTCCTTTCCACTAGAACGTGAATTTTATTTTCTTAATCCCCTTTGAATATATTCTTTATCTTCCCCATTCAATTTCTCTTCTCTCTTCCTTTTTCACTTCACAGAACACACGCACACACCAACACTTCATATATATACAACCTCCCATCCTGTATCTTGTTCTATCTTCTTCTTAAATCGGCCGATTGAGAATGGCGAGCACCGGAGAGAGGTAAAACAACCAAGCTTGGCGGAATGGGTTCGTCGAGTACAGATTCACGACGATCAGGTAATTGTGAGGGACGTAATCTAAGTGGTGAAAAACGGCGGAGAGAGGCGATTTCAATGGCTCCGATTTTGACGTTTTCCAACGGCGGTGCGAGGGACTGAGGTAGATCTAAGTTATAAAAAAGCCCTATGTTATAATTAGTGTTGCTCACGTTATTGCTGACGAAATTTTTGGGCGTTAGGGTTGGAAATTTTCATTGTGCAAATGAAATTGATTTTGGTTTTGGTTTTCATTGCGGATTTTGTTTAAAATTTTGCTGTGTTTTCCTTTGATTTTTGAAACAACGATTTTGAATTTTTCGCGCAGGAATGAAATTCTCGTCGGATCCCGACACTAATGGGTTAATTGCATAAAATTGTTGATGGAATGTGGGTTGGGATGGTGTTCGACGATTTGCCGAGATCACAATGCTTGTTGGCGTGCCCCTTTCGGATCTCACCTGCTAGCATTACATTTTTAATATGTTGTGCATATATCTGATGTATACTCGGTTGAAAAAAGATTCAACATTCATTTTATGTTGGGTTTGTTTTTAGTAAATTTGATGTTTATCGATGCATTATGGTTAATGATTTTTTTTTTTGTCTTATTTTTTATCTACTTGTTATGTTAATTTGATGTTTATCTATGTTTGTTAATTGGTTATTTTTTTTTATATTATTTGTAGTTTATATTCAATTTTTATTTTTATTTCTTTGCATTGAATTATTTCGTTTTTTAATTTTTTGATTTAGTGAAAAAACAGATGATAAACTTAAGATAATCAAAAGTTTTAAATAAATTTTAGAGGTATGATAAACTTAAGATAAACGTAAGATAAACTTAAGATGATCAATATTTTTAAATAAATTTTAGAGGAATGATAAACTTAAAACAATAAAAAAAATTATAGACAAAATTGGTGTCGAATTGATATAGAAAAGACTCTGTAGATTAGAACTGAAATGATTTTAAAAATCTTATCCTTTTAAGAAAGTTTTTTAAGGAATTGTTGACACATCCTTTAGCCTATAATTTTCCAGAAAGAGAGAGGTGGGCCGCAACTGATATGACGAAGCCCATTCTTAGTATTGAGTAATGTGATAGGCTATCAACTTTAGAAGGCCCAAAGGTTTTGGAGGTCAAACTGTTCACGTGCAAATTCCTTCAACTTTAGATGGCGCTTCTCCCAAAATCTATGTCGCCATGGCGGTCTCTGGGATTTCGGACGGAGTGAAGGCCGGGCCTGACGGCGGGCTCAGATCTCCGCCCTCGTGGTGGTCGGGGCTTAGTTTGCAGCTTGCGCCATTTCAATCCCCTCTTCCCTCTGTCTTGTTTGCTTTTTTTCTGCTCAATGATAGAATCCTTTGAAGCTCCAGTTTTAATTCTTGTTAATTTTTCTTATTTATTTTTGATTTTTTTTTTCTTTTGTCCTTGTTGATTCAATCGCCTTCCTCGTCAGCCTTCACCGGCCTGAGAAGATCGCCGTGCGGGAGCAGCAACTCCAGGCCCGATCCGGATCCAAGTCTTTGTTTGATGTGGTTCATAAACTAAAAATATACTGAACATAAACTAAAAATATACTTATGCTGCACAATAAAATCTAAAAATATACTGAACATAAACTAAAAATATACTTATGTTGCACAATAAAAATCAACTGCTGAACATAAACCAAATATATTAAAACTACGCAGTTTATTTCCATGAACAAATACCAAAATATACTGCACATATACTTCACCTGTTCAATAGCAGCACTACGACTATATATGAGATGTGATAATGAAATATGAAAAGTTTGAAATATGATATCTAACTGATATCCTTCCAAGATTGAGAGCTGAAATTATGGGCTAGAAACATGGAAAGTTTTTTCCATATATAAACACAATTTAATTGGTAGGAGTGGTAAATGTGCAAATATTTCAAAAACAAGTAGTAAAGGTGAAAATTTCCCAAAAGAATACTGCATAGTGTAGCCTGCCATAACACAAATCAGATCATCTGTTTGACTCTTCGCGACTTCGAATATGGAATAGAAAATATATTAAATAGTGAAATACCTAAAACAAGAAAAAAAAATCCTTCTTAACATTAAACCAAATAAATCAAAATGGATACAAGTAGATTCACAAGAGATTCCTTGATCATGGCAGACACATTTTGCATATCTGATTCACAAGAGATTCGCCATTTTCCCAACTCTCCGTTATCTCCAGCCACTAAAAAGTGAAATCGGTAATCACACATGTTTTTATCTCTACGAACAATGTCATGAACTCTATTTATAAAAGCTTCATATGATGAGGTCCTAAGACAGAAAAAATTCATCTCTGTCTCAACATTTTTTTACACATTCTCATCCCAAAAGCCACTGTGAATAATTCGTACTTTACCAACGTTCATCTGAAAAAAAAAATAAATAAAAAAGAAAATCTTTGTAACGCCCCACTTTATTTTGAAAGATTTGCTGAATTTAATTAATAAGAATTAGAGTTAATTTTTCGTAAATCTCATATTATTTTTAAAAACTCAATGGACGGTACTTAATTACTAAAACTTTTTAACCCAAAATATAATCCCATCAGTCCAATTTGGAATTTGTAAAATAGATAATCATAAAATTTTACCAGTGTTCAATAATCTCCAAAACATAAATTTTAATCATAATAAATATTCCAAATCAACCAGTAAAGAAAAATCCAAGTCTAAATAAGTTCATAAAAATTTTCAGAAGCAGACATAAATAAATAATTAAAGACCAAGACCACCCAATCGTCTTTTTTCGTCATCCGCCAACTGCTTAACCTGCATCAATTAAGAGCAGTTGGGAGTGAGTACAGTTAACTATCATACTCACACTATGCATATGAATAACATATAAATGGTATGGTCGCAGCATGAACATAAACAATAAAATCATGTCACATCTCTAGTCACATCAATAACTCTAGTCTCATCAAAGACTCACTCATGTACATCTATGCTCATCAAAGCTAAGCCATGCCATATCAGTGAAACATGGGAGTGCGTGCCACATCAATGACACAGCCTTCTCATAGGTTTTTATGAGATTTACCTCACAGGGTAACCGTATCTTATCATACGGGAACAACCGTACCGATGGCCATCAAGCTCACATCGATAGACTACAAGTTCATTTTCATACTTAGATCACACTAAACTTTCATCACAATTAAAATCACGCATATGCATAGATAATTTTTTGAATAACAACCCACCTGGTCGGAGTCGAGACAAAGCACAAAATGAGTGTAGGCGGCGAGTTCGACTCGTCAAGCACCTACATTTAATAAAATAGCCCTATTAATGACTATTCGACAACCACTTAGTCCAACTAAGCTTACGTAAGCATTTAAGTAGGCATTAAATCAAAGAAATCACATTTCCGAAAATATCACATACGTTTTGAAAACTTAACCCGAGCAGCGTTTGTAAAACCGACACAACTTTCAGCACACAACTCATATGATCATGAATCAAGTTGCATTAGAATCCTAAGACATGATCTACAATTCTTATGAAGACATCGAAAGTAAATAAGGCTATTTAGCAGGTGATAAATCAACAAACATTCAAAAATAAGTCACAATCCAAAACTGGGGTAATGCACTTGACCAACCCTCAGTAATTACTCTCTAACTGGAGCTACAGTCATGATTTTAATGAAATTAAAAAACCACATGATAGATAACTCAAATGTCTACAACTTTGTTGAAGGTCACTTTGGCAAATAAACACATTTTAATGAGTTTAAACACAAAACATTTGGTTCAGCAAATCTGTCAAAAACTAACATATGATATGGACAACACTTTAGTGTTTACAACCTAGACCGAGCTACAGACCTCTAAATGACATGGTTCAAGTCTCAAATTAAATCTTAAGCATGCCTCTACAACTTTCATTTAGAATAAAGAAGCATTTAAGATCATTTTGATAGGGTAAAATCGGTTCACATTCCATATCAGATGTCTGCCAAAGTAATAAGTCCCAACTCATGCATGTCTAACTTCATACAAGTACAACTCGAGTTACAGAGCACGTATCGACATGAAATTTATCTTATTTGAAAGGCAAGATACAGATCTATAACTTTCATGAAGAGTACAAGTTCATACGAGCACATTAAGACATGATAAACAGGTCACACATTAAATACAGATATGCTGCCGGGTAGCAGGAAAACTGAACGCGCAACATTTTTGTAAAAATCACAACTTATTCGATATAACTCGGAATCAAAAAATTCTAAAACCCAGATTTAGAAAACTGAACATACTACATTTCATATGAAGACTACATTTTCAAATAACCAGTTTCAGAGGGTCATAATTTCATTGTAACAGAGCAGTATTTTCCGAATAAATCACACATTCAAAATGAACTTCGCCTCTTATCAAAACACGCATATATTTCATGTGGTTCTCACCAAAACAGAAATAAACGAGCATATACTCGACTAATCACAGCAACAACATGATATTCGGTTTAACGAGGTCACGAGCATAATACGATAAACGAAACGACATATACGAGCCGGTAAGCCATTCGAAATAAATCCGACTTCAAACAAGAATTCGGTAACACGTATGATATATATATCTATCATGTAATATACGAATACAACCGAAATAACGAGAGAGTTCGAATGAGTTACCCACTTTCGAAAATTCACGAACTAACGGAGTAAAAACGGGCCGAACGACGGCTCAGCCGAACGGGTCGGAAGTTGGCTCGTTGACGAAACTCGGAAAAATGAAACGAAAAGAGACGAAACGGCACGTCGGCTCGATGGTTCTCGCATCTCGCCGGGAATGACGTCGGGGCTGCTTGTTCACGCCGGGAGTGACGTCGGGGCTGCTCGAAAGGTGGCTTACCGAGACGGGCTCGCCGGAAATGGCGACGTGGAGAGTTTGCTAGTTCACACCGGTTGGTCGCGCTCATCGGGAGTTCGCCGGAAGGTGCAGAGCTGCAGCAGTTGGTCGCGAGGCTGAGGACAAATTCGCCGGAACCTGCTGCTGCAGGTCGCGGCGACGGGTGCGGAGGAGGGTAACTCGCGGGCGGAGGGAGGCTCAAACGGAGATGATGAAGACGAAGGTGGAGCGACGGGAATGAAGAAGAAAAAAAAAAATAAGGAGAGATGAGACAATGAAGATGGTAAGAGGATAGATGGGATCAGATAAAAGAAACGAGGTGCCGAAAGAGGGGAACAAAAATTTTTAGATTGGATCAAGGTTCCTCTTTTTCCATGTGAGGAAAATAGATATAAGGTGTGTATGCATATAACTTAGTCGAGTTGACTAGTCTTGATTTTTTTTTTAAGAGCAACACACACACTCACATATTTATACTCGGGCTCGATTAATCGCATAATAAAAAATAAATAAATAAATAAAAATGAGAAATATTTATTTAATATATACATTATTTTAAAATAATAATATTAATAATGCTAATTTCAATTAATTCGTAAACAACGGTTTACGAATCGGTTGATTTCGACTACTGATTTATCGGGCTCAATCTCATAAACTCCGAATAAACATAATGCTCGGAAAAATAAAATATGACGACTTGTAAATCTTTAAATTTACGAAACCGACTTAATATATATTTATTAGCACATAATAATAAATACATCATCAAGTAATTATTTACTTGGCAATAACATAAATAATACTGCCAACATATCCGAAAAATTCATTTTTCAAACGGATTATATTCGGTTCACATAACTAAACTGAAATCGTCGTACGACAACCGTTTTCCAATAAAACGATCAAGTACTCCAATATTTTATTTAAGTCGACATAGCGACCAAATAAAATAATTATACCCTTATAAATAATATTCGATAAATAGAATATCTCAAGAAATTCTATAAATCGAACGGATGCTAAAATCTATTCCCATTAATTATTTAATACTAATAATAAACATTTAGATATTTAATTGAAAATATAATTATGTAATCCACCTAATATAATATATATAATCACATAATTAAAGAAAAATCAGAAAAATTCTAATATTCAAATGGGACATTACAATCTTAGTACAAATACTTTCTTCAACTTTTTTTTACCTTCAAATGTGTTTGGACAAAAATATATGAATATAAGACACAGTTTCTTGCTCAAGAAACCAGTTTCTTGAACAAGAAGAAACTGTGTTCAAGAAACGGGTTTCTTGAGCAAGAAACGAACAAGAAATCCGTTTTTTGAGCAAGAAACGGGTTTCTTGCTCAAGAAACCTGTTTCTTGACCAACAAACAGTTTTTTGTTCAAGAAATTCTTTTTTGTTCAAGAAATTGTTTATTCTTCAACAAACGATTAAATTCAGCTCCTAAACTCCAAAAAAAGGCTCTAAGTAACAACACAACAAAAGTCATGAACCAAAACACAACCCTTTTTTTAAGCACAAAAACTCTATTTTTTTAACTCTAAAAAAATATAAGTTTAACAAAATAAAATGGTACTAGACAAATCAATAATTTTGGGAACAAAAATAATAAATGTGTTCAAAAAAATTTTTATTTAACATAATAAAAAAAATTAGGTTTATGTTAATGTACTTTTTTTCTTCTAAAAAAGGGATTCACTTGGTGGTGTTGGAGATAATATTTGAAAAGATATCACCTCTACTGAATTTTGGGAAGATGAGAATTTTTTTTTTTTTTTTAACAGAA